TTTAAGACAAAGAATAAGTCAGTAAATACCCCACTGTTGAAGGTCTGAATCGTGTGTCTTAAAAAATCGCAAGTTTCTAACAAGTGACCTAAATGAGACTGCTAAACATCATCAACCCAGACACCTATCATGTCGTGAATGACATGATAGGTCAATGTTAGCTTTTTAACTATTCTAAAAGTGATGTCAATATCTGGAGATTGTTTTTCTGAACACATCATGTAAGTATCTTAAACATGTGTTTAGCACGGAGCTTTATTCATCATTTCTGCACCACTCAATGGGAGAACACACTGTCGGGCATCTTCACTTGTTAATCTTAACCATTCTAAAAGCTAAAGTTGAAGGACTTTTAGGAGAGCTAGTAAGAATACAGACAATTATCTATCATACTTTTTGTTGGATGTAGTGTCACATCTAAGAAATTAAGGAGACGAAGGGCATTAAACTATAACAATATGTCAATGGTGAAGTCGATCAATTCTTAAGAAAATTCAAAATATAATCCAATAAGAGAGAGAAAAAACAATTCAAACGTCCTCACGTCCTGATTACAGTACACTTCTTTTGTGTGCTCTCTTCATAGAATGCTGGAGTTGCCCTTTAACAAAACAGATTAAAACCACCAACTCTTATTACATTCAAAACTTAATTAATGGCTTACCACTACACTGTATTTATAAATGCATTAATTCATTATTTTAATATATTCCTGGTTTATACCAATTACCCAGATGCATTATAATTATTTCCATGACACTGGAAGTCCTGTGTTTCTCCATGCAGCTCATGTAAAAGGAGCCTTTAAAAGGCCTGAAGGTGTCACTCTTACATCACTATCTACAGTACAGAGTATGAGTAATGACATTGATTCAGTATTTCTTAACATCAGTTTTATTTATGCTTATTGCAATCAAGTCAAACTTCCATTCTGACAGAACATTACAACACAATATCTTTACAAGTGCCCAAAAATATATCTCACTGACTTTTATTATATTTGGCAACTTATAAGTCTCTGCTAAAACAAATAACAATATATAGTGTTTTATTCATGAAAAAATACATTGTCAATTTCCACAACAAATACCGAAGAAGGTATGAGATACGTACAGTAGTTTTGTTATATGACACCTTGAACATGCTTCGACTCAAATACATTGAGTAAATAACGGACCAGATAAATGACCTGCATAAACACTGCTTAGGTCAGTTCAGCTTTTCCAGGCATGTGAGTCAATTGTTGGGTTTCAAAACTGAAATGACACCAAATGTATCAAACAGTGGTGTTTCAGGTGTAGGGACGGAGCTCTTACTTATACTTCTTTAATATCAGGACAGTAAGTTTGTTTTTTAATGGACTCCTGTTCCAAAGCTGAGAAACTCTGACATAGGCAGCGTCAAGGTGTGCGGTTGATGTTAAACACTAAAAAACAAACATCCAAGGATGAAGAAGGATCATGTACACAAAAACATGTGTTGATCGGTTACAGAGTTGGAGTCAGGACATGATCCTAATGTAAGCTGCCTGTAAATGAAAAGCGGTAAAACACTCTGCGCTGGCTGTGCTATTGGTTTCTCATGGAGAGGGGCGCCAGTCGACTAGGCGGGAGATAAACTGGCGTCGCGCAACGCTCAAAATGGCCACCAAGCACTACACTCAAAGTCAAACTATTTCAACCTTGAGCACAAATGACACTGACCTTGCGACACACAACCAATCAGGTGACAGCTATATGATGCTGTGCTAGCTAGCAGGGAAGGTAACTAACTAGCTGTTTTAAACGCAAGGCGAGCTCAAAAATACACTAGCCAACACCACAAAAGCTCACTGACACATCCTAATATTATGTTACTTAACTGTATTTAAACAGAAATGTCAACACTTTTCTTTTTGATGAACAACTATTTAACCATACGCCCAACAACTGGAGTGCAGGTTGCTTGATAGTTGTTAAGCACTGTTTTTTTTGTATCTCTGTGCAGTTAAAACAGTCACCCCTAAAACCATAAGGGATTTTAGCAATGACAGTCTAAGTTCAAAAATGTCTCTGTGAACTTTATAGGTGCTGGTAGATGTGCTTTTCAGTTTGGACTTAGCCAAGCTAGCTGTTTTACCGAGCTTCCAGTTCTAATGCTAAACTAAGCTAGCTACATCCCAACTCCAGATCTGGACTTAACACACAAACATGAGAATAACATTATTTCACTCTCTGCAAAAAAGAATTTGGAATTCTCCAAAATATGGAACTATTCCTTTCAGTAACACATCTCTCTTTTTAAGCTAGTGCTAATGACATAGCTGCATAGCAAAGCTATTAAAAACACTTGTTGCACACTGAGGTCTTGGTGTCTGTTACTACTAATCTCACATAGTTAGAAAAATATATTAGAGATTTATTGGAACCACATCATGAAGAGAGATATGCATAAGAGTTTTACTGACATGGAGATTTACTGAGGGGGCAGCTGGACTGGAACTTTAAATGTAGTTTAATGAATCTGAGCAGCACCAGGGCTTTGTTCTAATATTGAAATGTTCTTCTTGAAATTGCTACATGTCTTAGTGTGTGGCATGCTGTGACTGAGAGTTGAGGAATGAGTCTATAAACCCAGAAATGTGTGAGCATTTCACCAATGGAAAAAATATCATGCCTTTTTGTAGAGGGAGCCCTTGTAATGCTAACTTCCAAATTAGCTTCCAAATTATGTGATCACTGCATAACTCTGTTCAGGAGAAAAGCATTGAGACTGGGACAGTCATGCTGACCCCTTCTGTTGTTTTTTACATTTTGTATTTTAAAGAACCCTGAATGGGGATACTGCATACATAATCTCAAGTAGGGAACGTAGTCACAAACGCAGTACTGGAGTGGACAGTGGGCAGTTCAAGCATAAAGTGTGTATTTCAATAGGTGGTCACATTAAAGAGGCACTCCACTGATTTGACACAGCAGTAGGTACAGCCTGTGAAAACAGCTAAATATATTTTAAAGGTCTAAGGGAGCTTTGTCAAGCCTTATTGTCACCAGACAACAACTTCCTAAATTAGAATTTGTTCCACTTGTTATGCCGATTGAATCAATCAATTCCACTGTATTGACAGAGAAATTCTCCTGGTGCAAAATATATTGTGCTTTCTGTATCGCCAAGTGTCATTAGACATGTCAATAAAGTAGTTGGGAGGAAAAGAAGAACTACAGGAGAGTCTTCCGCTTTCGAACTTCCGTGTTCTTTTGGCTTTTTCATAGTTATATTTCTAATACCGAAAATAGTATCCCATAATCAAGTGCAGAGGTTTTTACATGACAGATATTTTGCTGATATTTAATCGAGCCAGAGAACATTGTCAAAGAAATGCAGGAGACTGGGAACTACATTTACCATCAACACTGATGGGACCTCCACAGACAAAGGTGCTGAATTATATAATGATATTATCTCTGTCATAACAAGAAGCTTGTGGTACAAACTCAGTTAGTGGAGTTTAAAAGATCTATGCTATGGGGGGGAGGGTCTTAAAGATTATGACATGCATTGCATTCTGGGGAATGTAGGATCCATTGTTGACAAGTATTTCTAATAGCTGTCTTTTGTACATTTTTTGAAAGTGCAATGCTAAATAACTACAATACCTCTTTTAAACCCACACTACATCTGCTTTGAGAAGCTACAAATTAAACTACAATATAAATTATTATGTCACAGTGTGTAACCCGTCAGAGTGTCAGTTTAAAATAAATGCTTAATCAACACTGACAATTATTTTAGCATTGCCTATCTACAAAGACTAAACCAGACTGAGCTAGTGATTCCTGTTAACTTTTCTGTTATTTCTTCAAGAAATTAAACTTAAAGGGGACCTATCATGCAAAATGCACTCGTGTACATCTTTTATACATGAATATGTGTCCCCGGTGTTCCAGGGAACTCACCAAGTGTCAGAAAACACAACCCTCTCTCTTTTCCTCCATACCCAAATCTCTAAAAACGGGGCTTGTAACGGATCTGATACAGATTGATCCAGATTTGAATTATTGTCTACGTCACTAAAGGGGTGCTCCAGTTAGTGGTCAACTTCTCCACCTATTAGGGGAATGAGAAGTTGGGCACGGCCGGCCATTGCCTGCTCGAAAGCGCTGGAGACGCTGTAGTACATATGCCAGGCCTGTAAGTGGCGCTGTAGTCTGCCACAAAAGCAGCGAAGAAGACTTCCCTTGCATGGTTGCCATGGTTGCCCTTCTGTTTATTCTCCGCTGTGGCTCTTTTTCTCCCTCCCCGAGGCAAGCGTTTGCGCCTCCTGCTTTAAAACAAATGAATAATGACTCTATATAATCATATGTAAGGGATAATGTGCAGCGACGCGGTCATTATGGGGAAAAGAACACCGACAGGCTGATCAGGAGCCCGACGCGAAGCGGAGGGATCTAGATCGGCATCCGTCTGCTTGGGTCCCGCTTATTACATGGCCACATTCTCAACAAAGTAACGACATGACTCCCAATATTAATTGAAATGCTTTTATGGATTTAGAAAATGATTTATTGATTTAAAAAATAGTTTTATGTATTGATTTAAATTGACAAGCATCCGCTAAGAAAAATAGTCCGTTGTTACTGTTTGAACTAACGTAGCAACGGCAGGAACTGCTTCGATAGCGTTTTTGAGGAGCTTTTTGATTACAGATTGGAAAACATCGTTGCTTGCTTTAAAAGTAGCACACTTCATGATGTCAGACCTTGGGAAGTATCTAGATATCCCTGCCCTAATGCCAAAGTAACTGCCAACTGAATATGTGTCGCCGTTTGATGTCTATGTCTGGACCGCTGCGTAAAAAGGAGGGTTTCTGCCCGTTACTTCTCTTCTTACTTCTATAAGAATAAAACACGGAGGACGGAGATCTCTTTTTCTCCCCCTCTTCTGACAGCCCAGCAGCTGATCTCAAAGCACGCTCCCCTCTCCTGCAGGGGGGCGTGGTCAGCTGCAGCTCACAGAATCAGCCCCCTGCAAAAACAGCGCTGGAAAGAGCAAATAGAGCGAAATGAGGCATGGCTAAAATGCAGGATCTTTTTGGTATTTTGAAAAAACAACTATATTTATATACTTTATATAGGTATGGCCCTACAATATATTGTTCAAATATAGCAGGATATGTCCCCTTTAAAGGCTTGGATCAAGCATCAGTCACTGTCTTTGTATATTCTATGTTGCAGGATATTTCTAATATTGATCTAATTGATATGGAACATATCTAAATTGATTTAAAATATATAAGATTATCTAGCTTACATAAGACACTTGCATTGCATGCATTGCATGCTCTTGAAACTGAATATTGAACTACACCATAATCAAATTCACATGACAACTTATTCCTTCTGCAAATGCTTGGTTCATTAGAATGTAGGTCCTAAAAACAGAATGACAAGCCAAGGTATAGAAACCCTGGAACAACAGGAAACATGCTTAAATAGATAAACAGTCCCTGCATCTTCAATCTTAACATGTGCTTTTACCATCAGAGTTTAACTTCAGTCCCCTTTTCTAATGCCTGGTTTAGGGATAACAACAGGAGCAACAGGTGAAAAAAACATGAAAGGAATAAAATGAAAAGGGTTTCTTTGCTTTCTTTCTAAGGGTGAGATAGGGTGGGCTGGAGGTAACGTTAAAAAATGTGGGGGAGTTTGTGCTATTAAAGAACAGACATGACACTATTGTTTGTAAAGAAAGTTGAAGGATGACGAAAATCTCAAAAGGCCTGCTTTTGTGTGGATTGAACAAACAAAATACAACATGTGCTCTACAGACTGTTTCAGGCCAGAATAGTAATTTCCCCCTGCTTCCACTTTATGCTAAGCTAAGCTAACAACTGCTTCACTCAGGTTGTGTACACACAAACATGGGACAGGCATCTCATCTCACTCTCAGAAAGAAAGAAAGCAAACAAAAATAGCACTAAGTTTAACAAAATATAACCACCCTGATTTTGAAAACAGGTGGTCATATTAAGATTTGGGGCACAATATTGAAACCATGGAGTGTTCTTTGTGTGGCTCAAATCTACAGACTGTATATTATTTATGAAAACCATCAGAGTACACCCTGTTGAGTGTTGGATCAGTCAACTGAGCCAAAGGTAAAGGACCAATGTTGAGCTTCATTTTCCACCAACAAATGTGTCCATACTATGAGATGTCAAGACTTACTATTATGCTAATACTGTGACGCAGTTATTCTACTACTATATTATTGTATTCATCACAGGTTGACAGTGTTAACTGAATAATACGATATTTTAACAACAACTATGAGCTGTAACATTAAATCAAAAACGCTTCACAAACAACATATGTAGGACAGACTGATAACAGCTTAACTCTGCCTAAACAAGTCACATTCCCTCAAAATGAAAACTTCCAGTTCTTGTACAGACGGACAGAACAATTCCACAGTAATGCACAGTTTATCTATGATACTTCCATGAGTTTGGAGATATCACTTCATATTTCCTTATACATCTGAATGTGTGTTTTTGCCTTATTGCTTTCTGTGGGACAGCTGCAGAAAGTCTGGAATTAATAAACCTTGCCTGTGACATGTGTTATGAGGCATTTTCAAGTATTTAAGTGAGTGTTAACTTTAATGAAACTTGCTATTTTTGTTAATTAGTCCCACATTTTGAGCAATGCCACTGATTAAAGTGTAAGTGGAATGAAAAGCTATTCCTAAAAATGTCAGTAACACTGACTGTGCATGTCAGGATTGTTATGTGCCTCCTGTGGCGGGTCATGAACAGAAGGTGGATTGCAGCTGCTTGAAGGCGGCTTGCCTCTCTTTTTTCTCCTCTTCCTGTCTCTTGCGTTCCTCTTTTTCCTCCCGAATCTCCGCCTCAAACTTGCTGCCCAGAGACAGAGCCTGCATCTGTCGACACAGAAAATCACCGTGTTCATTCCCATCAACACAAAATATCCCGAGTAGCCCTGCCTTACTTTCAGTTTCTGACTGAAGGTTAATGTTAGAGCAGATCACTGGACAAACATTGAGTACCTTGGCTTCAAAGAAGTCTTTGGCCCCCATCACTCCCTCCGTGGAGACGTTGATCTCGGAAAGCCTGGCCAGAGCCATCAGACCACTCTCCTCCTGCAGCTCTCCAGCCGCCGCTCTCCGGAAGATCAGCAGGAACTGCAGAGGTTCAGTAACACTCAGAAAACAAGTTTTGCTGTGGGCATACTCTATGTAGTAATATACTTTTTGTTATAGAAGTGCTGCATATTTGAAAGCAGTGGTTCGCAAAGTATAGCGCAACATTACTGTATGCATATGTTTATATGAGGCGTCAAAATCCAGTCTGGTGGTTATAGGTATAAATGCTCATGTTTCTTCATTCCCCACGCCCCAAAATAAATAAACAAATATACCAATTTTAGGAAAAGTAACGAAGTTGGAGCAGTGTGGGTTTTATATTAATAGAGTTACACATATATCAAAACGTGAAGTGTAATAACTGCAGCTTGCAAATTGGTTTGCCATGAATTTAGTGATGGATTGTAAACATTTGAAATGTAGCATTTAAGTGTTTCTCAGTTACAATGTTGTTGTTTTAATAAATCAGACACTGATGGTGCAGCACTGTACTGTACCTCTTTATATATCACTAGAGCATCTAAATAATACACAATATAAAGAAAATACTGAATAGATTTAAATACTCTACAATATACAATTGCACTAGGCAACAGATAGAAATATACAGAGTATTACATAATTTAAATAACAAATAAATGAGTGATCAAACAATGGTACTGTTGTGGAGCACCTAATCCCAACAATCTTTGAAATTCCGAGCTTCTTTAAACCCAAAAGGTGTTGGTAAATGTATAAATGTCTGTCCATGTCCATGCGCCTCACACACAGGGAAACTATTACCCTGTGTGTGAGGGGGAAATCACACACAGGGAATTTATGTGGCAGAGTTTATTTTGGACCTAGTAGATGTACTGACAAAATTCCTACTAGTAGCCATTAAGAACAAAAATGTAATCATTTCTGAGGAGGTTGTTTGGTCCATTCTGGGCAACACACTCCCTCAGACTATCGCTGATTTTCTGGACATTAAGGACACGGTTGAGTGTGCCAGCGCCACAAGTTTAACCAGGCTGCTGGTGAAAGAAGCTGTAACCAGTAAGTCAGCAGTCAGCTGCAATTCCCAGGCTGAGGGTTTTATGGAAAGTGAACACGTCACTTCCCACCACAGACTTGATGTCATTGTTGGTCACGCCATCCATATGTTGAGAACTATTGGGGCTAAGATGAAGGGTTTATTTCGATTTAGATTACGCAAAAAGAAAAGGGCTATGGAGACCTCCACTGATTGTCAAAAAGGGGATGACGTCAACGATGAAAAGAGCCACGAGTCATCTGGCCCCTCTAAAACCTCAGAGACAGGGTCTGCCCTCTCAAAAACCTCAGAGGTAAACTATACCCTCTTTCAAACCCCAGTTGCTCCCCTCTTTCAAACCTCAGAGACAGGGTCTGCCCACTCAAAAACCTCAGAGGTCAACTATACAGTCTTTCAAACCTGAGGGTCCAAGTCTACCCTCTCAAAAACCTCAGAGACCAAATCTGCACTCTCTAATAGATCAGGGTCCGTACCTATATTCCCTAAAACCTCAGCTGCCTCAAGCGGATTAGAAGACAGCATTGGAAGCGATACATCCAGAATGGTCAAGGATATAATTACAAAATAAAAAAATTTAAATCACAGAGCCCCTAATGGATAGTATGACCCAATGTGAGAGCGATCTTCTTAGAGCCGACACGGTCGAGGAGATTGCTGAACTCACTCAATTCATCGTCAAGGAGAACCTGGGAGCAAAGAGCAATTCAATGACTACCATTGAAGAAGTAGAAGCCGAGATCAAGCTGGGCGAGAAAAATATATGCGGAAAGATCAAGGCCTTTTTAACCAGACGTGTTGCCAAACTGACCATACATCGAATGTTGTCAGGGCTGAAGGCAACATTTTGCCCTGGAGCAAGAGCTAGCAGCGTGAATTCAATGAGGGCTTTTGATAACGATATTGATGATTTGCTCACGGAGGAGGGTGATGGAGACCAGGATTGCAACGAAGTTTGTGTTTATCAGAGAATGAAAGACATATCCCTCGGCAAGAACCTGGTGTTCACAATGCTTCTCAAAGAACTCCTCTACAATCACACCACGAGAGGGATGATGATACCTGAGTTTGCCCCAGGAGTTACGAAAATATTAGTTGCCCCACCCCCAGAGGATGTGAACCGTGAGATAACGAGGCAAGCGTGTCGCTTCTTGGGAGTGTTCGGGTGGTTTGTGAACAACGAGGCTGTCACACAAACTAGAAGGATGATATTGGCTTTCGAGGAGATTGAGGCGCCACCAACAATCACAGAAGAAGCCCCAGTGTAAGTGTCAATGAAAGCCAAAATGGAAGTCAAGGTTCTGGTTCAGAAACTGGTCACACGGATTTTTTTAAACGCAAAGGTGAACAACAACGTTGGAAACTCAGTCGGCATCGTTGAGTGCCTGTTGGAGAAAGTGTGGTCAAAGTCGAGGGGGAAAGTTTCACAGTAACCCTGGATACATTTCAGACCCTCGACAAGGAGGTTTACAAGGACCTGGTCAGGATTTGGGGCTGCGCAGAGTCCGTGCTCGTGATGAGTGGTCACAGGTTCAAACCCCACTGCTGTCAGCATGTCGTTGTGTCCCTGAGACACGTCACCCCAAATTGCTCCTGTGGGGATTGCCCACAGTATTGAGTATGTAAGTCGCTTTGGATAAAAGCGTCTAACAAGTAACATGTAATGTAATGTCCCTAAAAAATATGTGTGGGTGGGTTTCATCATTTTTGGGATTTACTCGGGGTTCGCTCCGGTGTTTTCCCAAAATATTTGTGTGGGTGGGTTTTATTATTTTGGGTTTTCTCCGGGTTTTTCAGGATCAGGATTGGACGATTAACATCTCCACCAAAAACTGCATGGTGTCAACCTCTTATATTGTAATTAATAAATGTTGAAAAGCATTTTTACTGTTTCTCTGTCTTTAGTTTACTGTTGAATCTGTTAATATGTAACACATGCTGAAGGTCTGCTATTTTAAGTTTCACTACAAAATCAAACGTTTGTGTTTTATTGTGAGAAAAATACTCAGTTACAATCAAAACAAATTAATGTTATACAAATATATAATAAATTGGGAAATTATATTGTCACAGCAGCTGTTTTGTCAAGTATTACACATGAGTGAAAATATTACAAAGAGAGTATAAGATACAACTATATTAAAACAAAAAATGTACATGAACAGCAAATACATATAACATTATAATAGAATATACATATAGGCTTTTTTTCCCTCACAAATTGTTTTTGTGCTGACCAGGGGGTACTTGGCTGAATTTTTCAAAGGGGGTACATTATTGAAAAAAGTTTGAGAACCACTGTTTTAAAGGATGGATGGATGTAAAAAGAGAACTGGATGCAGAGTTAAAGGTGGGGCCCGGTTCATTCATTTGAAAGTTGAAAATTGGCGCATGAAGCCAAAATGGCATGACTGGAGAACAAAATTACCCAGATCTTCCCTGGAGTTACCAGCAATCTTCCGCATCACTGGGCCCAAAGACCTTGCGCACTTAGTCTAGCCTCCAATTCACTCCGTCACGGATTGCTCAGTGAAATTAATAGAATAGCTCTGGTTTTAACTTTTTGTGCATTTCAAAATGTTGAGGCCCTACTAATTCAATTATGGGCACTTTTTTTCCAATGTAAGTCAATGGGAAAATTGACTGGGCCCCAAATGATTTGCCTTAACTGACACTACTTACATTTGTGTAAACACCCCTCTGTCTTCTTGGGGGCTTGGTAACATCACTTGAATCCATTCAAATTGGATTGAGAAGTTTTAATGGTCACAGCAGTAAAGCACCATATTTAGTAGAATGTCATGGACTTCTAAGCTCCAATGCAAAGGAGAACTTAAAAAAGGGAAGGACTCATCAAGGGCGAGTGATGGATACGGAGGAGGAGTATGGCCAAAATGATAATCACACGTTTTTTATCAATATTGAGATTGCAAATATTTATCACCATTCTTTTACATTTACACTGCTTTAACTTTTATTTTGCATCCATAAATGTTAAAAGGTAAAGGTGGCGAGTAAAATGCCTCTGGATTGGGACTTTTCAACTAATTATTGCAATGAGGGCTATTGAGGTGTTTATAGTTTTGGCCATTAGGAAATGTGCTGCCCCTTTTCCTGGGGGTTTGCACAATATCCACCGTTTTTCAGCACCATTTTTATTTGCTTTTTTGCCTGTTCCCGTAGTGGAGAGTGGTCTTTGGTGGTGTGTGCGCTGTGCATTACAGACATCACATCCATACAGCATCATTTTGTCTGTACTGAAAATCATGTTGTTCAGATTATTAAATACTCTGCCCAAGAGTGACCTGTCTTAATACAACCAAATACTGAAAGTGATGATGATAAAGGATCAGTTTTAGCTATCTGGAATGAAATGACTTGCATCATAACTAAAAGCCACACAGTACGGCAGCACTCACCTCTCTGAAGCTCAGCTTGCCATCAAAGTCTTCATCCACCTCCTTGATCATGTTCTTCAGGCCCAGGTGAGTCTGTGGGGCTCCCAGCTTCTCCATCATTAGCTTCAGTTCCATCAGGTCGATGAAGCCATCTTTACCAGTGTCATACCTACAAACCACAAAGCGTGAGGTCAAAGTGAGCTGCAGCATGATGTTACACTAGGGCTGGGCAGTATGACAAAAAACTCATATCACAGTATTTTTCCAAATGATAACGGTATCACGAGAACATGTATTTACATTTATACGTTTTGGCCCCACAAAGAATCACCTGATCAGTGGTGGCCCTCATGAGTGCACATTTAAATTATTTTATTATGATTTATGATTGACCTTCAAACTTAGGTTCAGAATAAAAAAATAAAGTGCAACTTTATTTATTTAAACAAATAAATCTAGTGCAATTTGGCTGGCACCGCACCATTATCCCTCAATAGAGACTTTAACACACATCGACCACTCTAAATAGCTACAATATGAACATCATAAAGACACCCCAGCATGTGCCGCTCGAGGCCCTTTGCCACTTTTTCAACGGTATTGCTGTATATGAAAACTCATATCATACAGTATAAAGTTCACGGTATTCGGTATGAAACGGCATACTGCCCAGCACTAAGTTACCATAGTATTTACACATGTAGTGATTATGTTCTGTCCTTGTAATGTAATATCATATTCATGTAGATCAGGAAGCATCTGTTTGGACGATAAGTAAACATTGTTCAAGGTGTGCTCAGAATCAACACAAAGCTCATTTTAGATGCAGTTTTTAAATACAGGTCGACTGAAAGACAGTAGTGAACATGATCAGACACAAGCTTCCTCTATGCGGCAAAAAGTGAGCGATCACACATCATTGTATGTTGAAAACGGTCAGTTTGTAACCCTTACAAGGTATTTATATTCGCTCAAACTGTCATAATATCCTGCCATATCAATGAATAAAAACATGTTTCTCTGCTCCTTATTGCATTTTCAAAATGCCAGTACGCCCAAAGAAAAACAACCAGTTAGAGCTAAGAAGTCTAACAGTGTCTATCACTACGGATTAGACAGCGCTGATCAAATGTGAATCTAGATTATGTTAATGTATGCTTTTTATATCATCTCTAATGTTTTCAGAAACATAGTAGCAGTCACAGTCATTAATGTGAATCCTTATTTAAGGCATACACGTTGACAAACAGGAACAAACTTTTTACTTGGGTGGCATTGGGATATATCTTTTTTAAATCCTCTGGAGCAGAGAGAGGAGCTGTGGACTATTGTTATTGATTAATGCAGGGGTCGGCAACCCGCGGCCCACGGGCCGCATGCGGCCCTTTAAGCCCTCTGCTCTGGCTCCCTTGAGCTTAGACAAAAATAAGAAGGAAATAAAATAAAAGTATTTGTAGGAATATTTATATTTTGTTGCATGGTTGAAAATGTTTGGTATCTAGTATTTTGAGGTGATACTGTGACACATAAATAAAAAACAAAATGGTTTTAATTAGGTCAACTAAAACATGCGTCACATCATGCTACGGTCCCGCGCTAGCGCCTTTCCCTGCAGGTGAATAACCTGACCCCCGGCTCGATGAGCGAACTATGGATACATCAAAGAAAAGAAAAGTACCGGAGGAACACAGGATGTAATTCTGCGTGGACAGAGTTATATGCTTTCATAGCAAACGATGCTGGTTTACCGGTATGTTTGATATGCAGGGCCGCCCCTCCCTACAGGCCAATCACGCAGGCTGCATGGGCCCAGCCTTGCGCAGGGCCTCAGCTGCTGTGCGCAGTTCTCCGTGCAGTTCTCCGCGCACCCGTGAGAGGTGACAAGGGGAGCACGTCTGTAACCCGACACCGTTGCAATGAATCGACATCTGACCAATCACGGCTTTGATACAGATGTCGGTGAAAAGACAGTTTCAGTCCGGCGCAAGCAAAAGGGAGAAAAAAACCAAGAAACTAGAGCATCACTCCAAGGTGGGTTATTATTGTATGAGTCAAATGTACAACTTGCGAATGTTGTATAAGTCAAATTGCCAATTGCCATCTTAAAACATCAGCTGCAATTCACTACATGAAGAAGGCAGTCTCTGCATAGCATACAGGCTAATGGAGATGCAGTTATTTCCAGCATTCTTTATTTAACATTCATTCAAGTATGTGATGCCTTTTATCTGCTAATGTACAGGAGGAAGAGTGATACACTGTCTGTCTAGTTGGCTTACATAACAGTTAAAGTTTACAGCCTAAAAAACATGGAGCATTTTTTCCCCTTTTATTCATTTTATGTCAATTTGCACATTTCATGGTGACGCTCAGCCTCTCCCCTTAACTCCTAACAGTCATCATCATGGTGACGCTCAGCCTCTCCCCTTAACTCCTAACAGTCATCATCATGGTGACGCTCAGCCTCTCCCCTTAACTCCTAACAGTCATCATCATGGTGACGCTCAGCCTCTCCCCTTAACTCCTAACAGTCATCATCATGGTGACGCTCAGCCTCTCCCCTTAACTCCTAACAGTCATCATCATGGTGACGCTCAGCCTCTCCCCTTAACTCCTAACAGTCATCATCATGGTGACGCTCAGCCTCTCCCCTTAACTCCTAACAGTCATCATCATCATGGTGATGCTCAGCCTCTCCCCTTAACTCCTAACAGTCATCATCATGGTGATGCTCAGCCTCTCCCCTTAACTCCTAACAGTCATCATCATGGTGACGCTCAGCCTCTCCCCTTAACTCCTAACAGTCATCATCATGGTGATGCTCAGCCTCTCCCCTTAACTCCTAACAGTCATCATCATGGTGACGCTCAGCCTCTCCCCTTAACTCCTAACAGTCATCATCATCATGGTGATGCTCAGCCTCTCCCCTTAACTCCTAACAGTCATCATCATGGTGACGCTCAGCCTCTCCCCTTAACTCCTAACAGTCATCATCATGGTGACGCTCAGCCTCTCCCCTTAACTCCTAACAGTCATCATCATGGTGACGCTCAGCCTCTCCCCTTAACTCCTAACAGTCATCATCATGGTGATGCTCAGCCTCTCCCCTTAACTCCTAACAGTCATCATCATGGTGACGCTCAGCCTCTCCCCTTAACTCCTAACAGTCATCATCATGGTGACGCTCAGCCTCTCCCCTTAACTCCTAACAGTCATCATCATGGTGATGCTCAGCCTCTCCCCTTAACTCCTAACAGTCATCATCATGGTGACGCTCAGCCTCTCCCCTTAACTCCTAACAGTCATCATCATCATGGTGACGCTCAGCCTCTCCCCTTAACTCCTAACAGTCATCATCATGGTGACGCTCAGCCTCTCCCCTTAACTCCTAACAGTCATCATCATGGTGACGCTCAGCCTCTCCCCTTAACTCCTAACAGTCATCATCATGGTGACGCTCAGCCTCTCCCCTTAACTCCTAACAGTCATCATCATGGTGATGCTCAGCCTCTCCCCTTAACTCCTAACAGTCATCATCATGTCAACCACAACACAGAGAAATACTGATAGAAATGTGTGTGTAGTTGTTGATACATTGCTGACAGAGGGAACTATGAATACAGATTTAAGAAATATCAGTTTGAGCATGTCATAAGCATGTTTTGTCTTGACTATATTATAATAAAATAATATTGAATTTATTATGATTATTAGTGGAAGTAGTTTATTTGCATTAATTATATTGTAATCTTTTTGAGGCTAGTATTTGGCAGGAAATGCAGACGTATTCACCTGTAAACGCATACTGAGCGACATACATGCACATTGATCATTTACCTCACTGTATAAAAAAGTAACTGTTGAAAATAATAATAAACAGGAATTATATTTGCAAAGTAGCCTACTTTGTTTCCAAAACATTTTTTTTCACTCCTGTCGGTTGGCAGGGGGGGGGCCTCATCTCACAATGTCGCTTGGGGCCACAAGTTGGCCAGGGGCGGCCCTGTTGATATGTAGAGAGAAGTTGTCAAAGGCCTTTACGTATTGAGGAGAAAAACGGAAGAGGTAGACAGCTGACGATCTTCAGTCATAATTCAATGGGGTATGTCATTTATTTAAAGCGTCTTTGGGTCCAGAAAAGCGCTATATAAAATTAATATATTATTATTATTATTATTATTTCAGAAAACACTTTTTGTTATATTCCATGGAATACTCTTAATGTCCCAATAGCAATGAATATATTAAATGCTTTGACAATAAACACATTAAAATGTTTAATCTGTGGAAGCCGTAGCGCTGTAAAAAGCACGACCAATCATCTGAGCCGGCCCGGCTAAAGTAACTGGATGGCCTACCTGCCTGTCAGCCTTCCATCTGTGCACAAACTTATCTCGTGCCCTCATTGGTCATGTGCGCGTTCGTGTGTGTTGGAGGAGGGGCTCTGGAAGGAAGTGGCAGATTTTTTCCGGCTGTGTATTTTCAAATTCTAGCGATCTCGAGCTGGTTTCTCCAAAATTACCTAAATTACCTTTAACTCTTTTTAGGGTGCAGCTATATGTTTTATTTATTTCAAAGTGGGCCCATTTTAATTATATATGTTTTCCTTCAAATATGCAGAGGACTCCCCAAGTTCTGTGTTTAATTTATTTTAAAGTAGGCCTGTGTATTATTTGTAATTCTCCTTTTGTTTCTTTTTAGAGGTTAACAGTTTTATATAATGTAATAAATAATAAATGCAAAACAACTGTAGTTTTTGTCTATGATTTAACAATAAATACAACTTTATAAGCTATGAAATATGTTTTGCGGCTCCAGACAAAAAATATTTTTCGAAAGGGGAGCAAAATGGCTCTTTTGGTCAAAAAGGTTACAGACCCCTGGATTAATGCATCAGTGTTTCTTAGGGTCAAAAACACTAAACTCACAACTTAAAATGAAAGCGTTTAGTTTATTTAATAAAAGAGCACATGTTCAATGTAAAAAGTGACAGTAGATATAGATTAGTTGCAATTCGGTGCTATATATATATATATATATATATATATATATAAAATAAAAAAATTATAAAAAATATTATTTATTTTTTTAACACCTTGAATTTCAGGGGGCTTTTTGGGGGCTACCATCCAAGACAATGGTAGGGGAAACACTGGTGTGAGCTGGGTT